TTTAAAGACACATAGTTAGGTTTTGTGCAATCATATTGATTGCGATTTAAATGTCTCAAGAACGAATCCCTTTGCTTAATTATAAACTCTCTTGCATAAAATATTTCTGGCATTTCTAATATATGTTTATGTGAGATTTTCATTGTATTGTGAATGTAATCAAATTTTGCTAGTAATTTAAATCTATCTGAAATTATTCAAATATTATAATTTTACATAAAATATAATGAATAGATCTTTAATCCAAAAAATTTAATAATTCTTACTTTGCATCCATATTCGTGGCTTCCTCACATATATAAATTTTCATCTCATCATCTGTAAACCCCATTTCTTCTTTAATTGTAAAAGTATTTTCTTGATTGAGTTCATACTATATGTTATGAGTCGTGGCTGTGCGTTGCCAATGCACGTACTTCATTTCCTGTGAGATTAAAATCTTTTTGAAAGTAACTAGCCTTTGATCGATATCTCTTGTACTAGAATATAAAAAAAAAACTCGGTATGTCCAAATATATAAAACCAACATGCTAACATGTAAAATTTGAATTTCCTTACTGTGTAACTCAACCACATAGGGTTTTTTGTTATAATTCTGGAAATCATTTCAGGTGTAACTGTTTGTACTGCATATAATAAATCCTAGTTGTACATCATCAATATCTTCTTTTAAAAAATCCAGGGTTTTTTGTTAGAAATTTTCCAAGTTCTTCCATGGGAACACCGAGGCCATTTAAATAAATTATTCTATTTTTGATATCTTTATCATAATCTAGTTGCAAAATATAATCAGGAACGTTTTTAATTTTTTCTAGTTTACTCAAGTCTACTCCTAACTTGACTAGTTCCTGCAATGTTTTAGATTTATTGACGTAAGCAGCAAAATTAAAAGACTGTTTCAGATAGGGAGTAAAACTTTGTAAGTCATCTTCTTGTGTTGGGGGTAAAAGGACGGATCTGTTTTCATCTTGTTTAATTTTGTTTAATTCTGTATTCCAATCGATAATGCCATTTTCCAATTCCTCAGTAGTAGTAACAGTTTGAAGAATTACTTTATTTTGGGCATTTGTTGCTACTGCTTTTCCTGAACTTCCATAACGTGCACATATTTGGTTAAATTTGCCTTGCCTCGAGGTTATATTGTGGAATAACTTACGCATTATCATAATTAATAAATACTTGATACGAATTATTGATGGTACATTTTTAATCTGCACTACTGTAAATAAAATATGTAGGTGAAATTCATTCAACAAAATTTTTATAACACAGGATTATTATTTTGTTTGTATCCGACTAACCTAACTTACATTGACGTTACGAAATTCTATATTAATTATCAGGCACAACACAATGCTACATTTCACGATGAAGTAGAAAGTGATTTTATATATTTTATTTGTCATAAGACATTTTTCGTAGGTATGAATAAAAGAATATAATAAGTAGTTTGATTTCGAAATATATAAAAAATTGTTATTTATCGTTTGCATGAAAGATGATGTCAAACGTCATTCTTTCTAAATATGAAGCAAGAATATATAGTTTGTAGTTGCTGATATAAAAATGTATTTCAAATATTATCGAAATAATTTAGTAATAATTTCCTAGACAATATATTCTATTCAATAGACAATATAATCTATTCATAATTCTTCCAATTATCTAGTTTCTGCATAAAACAAAGTGAATGCTCTATCATGGACCTCAAGATGTATACAGTAAACAACAAGTATGAAAAATATATTATTTTTATTGTATTGGGTTGTTCGGAAAGTAACTTCGTTTTTTACAGACATTTTAATTTTCGTACAATAAACATGCATTTACTATAATAAATTATGTATTGGCAGTTTTGATCGAACATCTTTTGTCATATTTCTAGTATTAGCATAATACCGAAATCATAAATGTTTTGGTCTTTATTGGCAAAAAACTGATCAAAGTGCTTTTTGACAGCCTGATTTGAGGTAAAGGTTTTACCGCCTAAAAATTTTTTTAGTTGCCGGAACAAATATTGGTCTGATGATGGCAGGTCTGGAGAATATGATGAATGTGTCATTGGGTCCCACAAGCTTCAAAAGCTATTGGCGATTGATCAAGCTTATGTGAGGTCTTGTGTTGTCTTGATACAGGACTATACCTTGTTGTGGGTTAATTCTGTCCTTTTCTATTGAAGTATATCATTTAGATTATCCAGCTGATGACATAAGGCACCCGAATTAACAGTTATGTTATCCTGGTAAAACTGAAAAATGAACAACTCTTTTAAAATCTTACCAAACATACTGCATCACCTTTTTCTGGTAAATTTTATCCTTGCACCTGTTTTGAGCAGATTTTGCTTTTTTGTCTCATGGGCAATTGCGTGTATTGTACTCTCTACATTTCATTTGAAATTCCTAGTGATAATTTGCTTCAAAACCTAATAATTTTCAAGACTCTCCAGAGGCGAATTGCGGAAGCCAGTGGGACGAACGACACACGTTTCTTTCTATGAGAACCATACATTGAGTTCCGAGGAAATTCCCAGACCTTTTAAGTGGTCATGAACTGTTAAATTTGATAAATTTTTACTCAGGGGGATCTCATGTATTGTTATATATCAGTTTACTTCAACTAATGCTTTTCTCATGTCTTTATCAGCTTCAACCGTACTTCTTGGACTTGTATCTTGGACATTAAAATACCAGGAATGAAATTTAACAAACCAATTTTCGCACTGTCGTACTGTCAACGCGTTATTTCCGTACACACCAATCAATTATTTTGGCTTAAACAGTTTTTATACCTTTTCTATAGCAAAAGAGTAAAATTTGTTGAAAATGCTGCTCAATTCTTTCCATATTCAAAGTGGCACCATCCAAAACTACTGCATGTAATTGATTAGAATTTTCACATTCAAGCCTTAAAATATAAGGTTTCAAATCATATAATAATTATAAGACTTAAGTGTGATGTTAGGTTCAAAAAAATATAGTTAAATTCTGGTGGTAAAAAAACAAAGTGACTTTCCGAACAACTTTATATATGTCTTTCTAACAGTAATATTATAGATATCATATTTATTTTTAAGGATCAAAAATGCGATAACTATAATAAATTCAATGGATGAAAAAAAGTTCCCTATTTTAGTATCGCATATAAGTGATATGCTTGAAAACCAAAAGGAACTGTCACCAGAGGAAATAAACAAATTAGAATCATCTCTAAAACTCAATTCTTACGAAGTACAATTATTAATTTCTACTGTGCAATATTTGCTTACTGAAAATGACAAATATGTCATCAAACCTTCAGTCCTGCATTCAAAAATGATGTCTATAGGAATAAATGAATCAAAAGTAGAACCTTTCATCAAGATATGGATGAAAAATAATAAAGAATTATTAGAAGATTTATGTACCAATGATTTAAATAAACCAACACGCTTAGAGGACTTTAAATGGCAATTAAGTTTACAAGTATGCTCAACAACAAAACAGAAACAGAAATTGCCTACAGCCATGATGCAATTTGTTTTATCGAAAGATGGCAGTGAAGATTTGTGCGAACTTGAAATGAATCATGAGCAGCTTTCAGCCTTTTATAATCAATTGGAAAGTATACAACATAAATTGGATAGTTGAGCATAATATAAATATATTATTGAATGATTTAATACAACTATATTTTTAAAACATAATTTCAATAATAGAACAATTTGATTATACATTAATATTAATTTTATTAAATTATATTAATACTAATCTTTGGCATCTGCAATTCCACCAGTAGTTATTGCAAATGTTGCTTCACTTTCCGGTAAATCTGGACTATCATATATTTTGCATATACGTGTTTCACCACGTCCTTTTCGAAGAGATAGACGAGTTGTAGAGGCATGAGCCATTATGTTACCACCTGAAAAAAAATTTATTTGAAAGCATTTAATATATAAAAGTTATTTTTTGTTAATTATTTGATATAGCAATTTTGTTGAAAATATTCTAGAACTTTATCTTTTATTGGTATTATACCATAATAAGGATTTAATTTTTGTTTAAGTTATCTGTGTAAATTTATAAATAAATAACAATGGGGATACAAAAAAATACCAGATATTTTTTTTAATAGCTGACTTTTATGTATATTTAAACATTTATATTATTCAAATATAATCTATAAAACTAAAAAATGAAAATCAATCTGATCACCAAACCTATTGGTTTCTTGGGATCCGCTTGGAATGATAATGTGGCACCAGGATCAGATGTCATTTGATTTGTAATAAAAACTGCCACATTATATTCTTCAGATATTTTTTGAAGCTTTGACATCAATTGAGCCAACTTTTGTTGCCTATCTGCCAATTCACCACGGCCACTAAAAATTACTTAATTATAAACAAAAGATCTATATCAAAACATATTTATGTTAATGTTAATAAATCAATAATTTATGCAGGTGTTATTTCAGAAATATGAACTATTAGTTCTTAAATTACTCAATGGAATACCTATAGTCGACTCGAAATAAAGCCATTGATGAGTCTATTATAAGTAATTTAAATACACCGGCCTCTTCATGAAATTTAGCTGCTACATAGTCCAATAACTCATATTGATGTTCTGAAGTATATGCGCGGGCATAAAGTACATTGTCCAGTACAGCTACCTGGTCCAAATTGAATCGTTCAGCAATTGGCCTCAACCGGTCAGGTCTGCTGTAAGATGAAGAAATTTTAAACTAATATTGCTAGAGACCACAATATTATGGGTTTAAAATTTAGGCTTGCAACGAATAGTATATTCGGCAAAATGCCGAATACCGAATATTCGGCTTGCTCCAGGGACCGAATACCGAATATTCCGTAAGCTCCAGGGACCGAATACCGAATATTCGGCAACTAATTCGGCAGGTTTACAGCGCCTAAACTTGTTCGTAATAATGTAATTACTACTCGTAGTTGTTAAATTACTAACGTACTACATTATATTCAGTTTTTATGTCTAGTCTTGCAACTACTATTCGGTTACTCTTTCTTATTTGGAAAATTTGGCATTATACTCTTCTGCGGAATACCGAATACTTAAATAACATATGTAATAGGGAAATAAATCAAAAAACGTATTTTTGCGATGAGCCTATGATATTTTTTCATTTAGAAATGCTTTGATTGAATATAATGAATGACTGAATGAAATGAATGACTTTATTGAATATAGATACAGCATATGCATGTAACCGTTGAATGATTCTTATTAAAAAAAAATATATAGCAGTAACGCGTCCCTTGAATATGGAGAAGAGTTGTTCACGTGTTCGTTTATAATCTTAAAAGTACATAACGTTTAAATTATTATATGTACAAATACAATAACAAATTCATTTCTTCATATCATATTATGTAAACTAAAGACTTCCAAATATACAGGTCCATTTAGTAAGTTACTATTCAGTATTCGGCCGAATATCAAAAAGGTGCCGAGTATGCCGAATACCGAATAGTAACCGAATATTCGGTGCAAGCCTTGTTTAAATGCAATAATAAAAACACAAAAAACCTTGTGTTAGTTCAGTCATATTAAAAATGTACTGACAATGAGCAAATTCAGTAAATTGAAAAATCTTTTATATCAATTTTTACTACTACTTACAATGTGTGTTCCGTGTCAATAAAAATAACTTTTCCGCCGTTATAATTATTTGCACCAGGCATTTGAGCAGTGACACACAGTGTGTGCGATAATTGTGTTTTGCCTGTTCGAAATTCACCAAAAGCTTCTGTGATTGCCATTGATTCAATTCCGCCACCTAAAAGCTTGCTTTTAAACAAATAATATGATTAAATTATTTATATAAAATATAATACTATAATATTATTATTATATAAGTACTTAATGTTTTTGTCAAATATTCTGTCAAGTTAAAAACTCGAGAGAATTTCTTAGCTGCAATTCTTCTACAAAGGTACAGTAATCTATATAATTTATTATACGAAGTTTTTTTATTTTATTTTACACTTTCACTTTAAATATTTCCTTAAGAAAAGTTGCATATACGTATTAAAAATACTTGAAAATATTTAAGATGATCATTCAAAATGATTAAATTTGATTTGGGGTTATAGGGTTAGAGCGGGCCTTAAAGGTCCACAGGTAAACAGGTCTATCGACATCTAGAATTCAAGTAAAGTAAAAAAAAATTAACAACAAGATTGGCAAGAACTGGGAAAACGAGGTACAACTAGCCATCACCTTGATTCTTAAGACGTTTAGTTTGCGAGATTTTAGTATAATATTGAATTATTCGTAATTCAATTATTTTATAAGATATATTTATTTATATATTTTATAAGATATATTGTTATAATTTTAAGTAATATTCAACAGTTTTTTTATATAATCTTTAAACAGCTTACACGTGGGTAGGGTAACAAGAACCAACTGAACGTTTACCCTGGCAAAGGTGTAAACAATAAAAAATAGTAATTAGAAAAGTTAAAATGAAATTTTTGTCCTATTGATTTTGTCCTATGATTGAATAAATTGTTATTTCAACTCTGCTGATGAATTATTTCTGACGATTCTAGATCAAGGTTATATACAGTATTAACTCTGTAAAAAAATGTACTCATAAAATTTATATTTTGCATTGGCCGAATAAAGTAGCTATTATTTCAATTGAAATCCCTTTAAAAATAAAAATAAGACATTTTTTCAGTAGACCGCGTCTATGGGGTAAAAAAAAGACCAGGTAACAAATTAAAAAAAACAGCATAAAACACATTTCAAACATGATGAATTAGCTGGGAAATTATAGCTTTTGCTGAACATAATCAGATAATTGTTCGTTCGATATGGATTATTTGCTGTGATATAATTGCGGTTTGGTTTTCACAATATAATTGGTCAAAGTCAAATTGGACTTTTGTGCCCCTGCCTACCCTATTCTGCAACAAATGACATATATCAAACAAGCAATTATCTGACTATGTTCAGTAAAACTCCCAGCTATTTTATAATGACGGAAATGTGTTTTTGCCGTTTTTTGAATATTTGTAACCTGGTCCTTTTTTTACACATATGTGTAACCCCATGGTTGGGGTAAATTGAAACGGCTAGAATTTTACAAAATATTAGCTACATTGCAACCAATATTAAATATAAATTTTGTGTGTGCATTTTTACAGTGATAACATACTGTAAATAATTTTAATCTTGTATTTTGTCAGAAGTACTCATCAGATTTCAAATAACAATATTTTTTTTAACTTCCCGTAGGGTAAGTTATAGTACTGGGCCAAAAATCGAAAATGAAAGTTTTTGCATATCTTCATCACGTTTAGAGGTTTCTGAACATTTTGGCATGCAAAAATTGATATGTGTGTGTGAGTGTGTTTTGTGTGTCCACAATTTTCCGTCGACGTTTTCAGGCGCACGGATCAACCGATTTGAATGGTTCGAAAAACATTCGATTCCTATTGATAGGGAGATGCGCTGATTAGTTTTTGGCAGATACAGGTCCATCCGTTACGGCGAAGATACGGAGCCATGAGTGCAGAAAATATAATAAAGCTTTTGAGAGAACGGAGTTCCCGATGTGAATGATCCAAAAAGCATTCAATTTGTAATGATTGAGAGAAGTGGTGATTAGTTTTTGGTAAAAACAGGTCCAGCCATTTCGAAGATATAGAGTTAAATACAAAAAAAGCAGTTTTTGAGAGGACTAAGCATCCGATTTGAATGATTCATAAAAACTTTCTGCTTGCGTTGACAAAACAATTGCTTTAAGAGATTTTTTTTTATTATTACATTTTTTTTAAAAAAGCTCACTTATATACTTTAAATAAATAAATTTAACTTTGTAATTCAGTTTATATATTTCTTATAAATATTAGACAATGTTACAGTGTTTATAATAATATTTGAAAACATTTATTAATATATATATTTCTCGAACATTTCGTTACGCTGCGGGAAGTTCCAGCAATTTGCCTTAAGGCACGATGCCATACATTACTATAGCTTAATTTTTTTTTTTGTAAAATTGCTTTATTTAACTTAATTTACTTTTTATTTGCTGTTTTTATATTTTATAAACCTTTGCCCCAAGGTAAAGGATTAGTTGGTCCTTTTTACCCCAGTCAAGTGTGAGCTTTTATAGAGGTAATATAAAAAAATCCATTGAATATTACTTGAACTTAACAATACATCTTCTAAAATAATGCATACTTAAAAATAATATCGAGGTGTCGTAAACAAAACAACATTGCTCACAATCAAAATAGCTAATAGCAAAATAAAAGTGCCGTTAATTTCCCGATTGCGACATCATAAGAATCAAGAATGGCTGAATATGCATTGTTTTCATATACTGTTAAAAAAATTACTAACTTTACTGGTTTTTGAGATATCGTTGGTGGAGCTTTTACCCGCGGACCTTTAAGCCCCGCTGAACCCTACATAGCAGCACAACAAATGAAATGATATGAAATGAAAATATGTCAGATATTTAACTAAAGTAAAAAGACGTTAAGAAGTTCTATTAAAAAAGTTTCCAATAATTACTCTAGTTCTTGACTTCCAGTGCTCACGCGGAATACCATTTTGCGCCTTTCGCTAACCTCCAAAGCCGTTACAAATCC